GAAGGTATGACTGGACTGGCAGTTCCCCAGGGGAAGCACAAGTATATACAATTTTAAGACAATATCCTTAAATACCACCACCTGGTTGTAATTGCAGCCACATGTGTCCTAGGAGGACATTATTGTGAAGCGGGCCATCCAACATGCTTGGTTTTAGGGCTTTGTAGGGAATGAGGAGAGCCTTGAGCTGAAATCAGTTCAGCTGTTAATGCAAGTGAGAAGCTCTTTTCCCTAATAAAGGAGCCTTTTTCACCCTTTCAGTGAACTGAAACCTCCCTGAGTCCCTGGCTGTGTGGAGGTTGTCTTCTCAGAAGAGCATTGACAAGGTCTGTGACTTCTGAAAAGGCAATGGCTATGTTCCCACTTTTTCAGATTTCCCCCCTTCTTTGTACACCGCCTTCTTTTCTCAAGTAAGTTAAGTCCACTGTTATTATCTGTCTTCTAGATAGGTCCAATTTTTTCCCAACAAGGAGAATATTTTGCCTTTGCCTTGCTAAAATCCCCAGTGCAGGAAAAAATCTTCTACTTGCAGGTGGATACCTGCTGGGCCTTTGGGGGTAAGGTTGTTTGTCAGGAATGGGATGGGTTGTCCCAGGACCACCCAGGTATGTGGTACCACTGGTTCCTGGGTAGGTGCACCATTCTAGGTGCACCTAGAGAGAATAGGATCACTGGCCCTCACTTCTCCATGCAGCTTTGGTGGGGCACAGTCTGAGTCTTGTAGTCACTTGTGCAGCAGAGTTTTAGAAAGAAATCTATTCTTTCTTTAGAAAGAAATCTCAGTCACTGGGAACTGGGAAAAAAAGCTTAAAATGCTCCAAAGTCAGAAAGCAAATGAAATTACTCATAAATTTCTATAAATCTTGTATTTTTTTAGCTAGTCTCACAGTCCTCATGCACTCTGCCTGGGTTTGGCAGAGCATAGACTGGGGCTTTTCAAAGCTCGTTAGTCTCTGTTGCAGCAAAGGGTAATAGACGATTCCTCAAGTATTTTTGTCGTGTTGTTTATTGAAGTAGTACTCTTTACTTTCATTCTTGCAGCAGAAGCGATCAGTTCAGATAGTTGTTTTCTGCAACAGGTTCTAGCTATGAGTCATCCTGTATTTATCTCAAACAACATGCAACAATACATTTAAACTAAAAAATTTAAAACTAAACAAACTGGATTGCCATGACAACACGTGCTACCTACAGGAGGAGCTGTGTTTTTCTGAACATGCCAGAGATGCTGAGAAGTGAAAAGAAACACTTGATGCCTGCTGAAACTTGGATTTCCATGTTCAATTTCAAATAAAAAAATAAGACTGTGCTGTGATGCAAATACTGTTACCCAGCCTGGGGGTAAACTGATTGCCAATTAAGAGGCAGACTCTTCCAGTCACCTCACCAGTAATACTCTGTCTTGCCTGGGATTAACTGATAGAGTGGGAGATGTTACAAGCAGAGATTTTTCTCCCTTGGAATTCCAGCAGACATGAACAGCAATATAGAGAAGATCATTAATTTAAAATGTAATTCACTTAGTCAACTAATTAAAAGAAAATACTTTTTTTGCCATTTGCAGGTAGGCTGCTGAAATGTAATTAGCTCCTGGAATGATCCTATGAATCTTTGAGTCTTTTCAAAATTTGCAAATTATTTTCTTGAGGTGTCAGCTTTAGTGAGAGTGTTCTTCCAAAGTTTCTCCTGCATTTAGCTTTCTCCCTGGTTAGCCTTATGATACAAGAAGCACACAGATCTAAAGGAGTATCATGGGCTTTCAAGAGCCGTAAGTAAAAAGCAGCTCTGAATTTTCAGTAACTATTATTAGCATCCTATTATTTTTCTGTACCTAGTACCTAGAATAGCGAAAGTTTGTAGTGCTTTATTTTATACAGACATCCGTTGCATTCAAGGACAGGTTACCAACGCTGAAAGCATATAAACTTTTGCTTGGATCAGAGCTCACTCAAGGCTTTCTTCCAGCTTATAAACACCTCCTAAAATCATGCAGTGCCCTCCTGGACCTTGCTTCTGTGTCTGCTGATGGCACATGTACATTCGATGAGAGTGTTCAGGCTTGACGACAAGAGACGTGGCCAAGGGTTCTCCAGTATGGTGTCTGGAGAGGCAAACCAGTTGACCATACTTAGATGGTAATGACTGGCACAGGCTTTAAAATAGTTCACCACTGTTGGCAGGGCATATTTAAGACACTAATTATTGCCATAATGGAACAAAGCGACTGTCCATCTCCTTGGGGACCTGCCTCTGGCAGCAAATTGTGCATATGGCTCCCAAGGAAGACAGAAACCAGACAAGCACATGGAAAGAGAGACTTGTTTACAAACCTTTCCTGATCAGTGCGTGTGCTGGAGCATGTCTTCTCGTATTTAACAGCAGTTTGTCCTAAGCTTCCAGCAGAATGCATTAATGCACACTAATCTGACTATCCCAAATTCCTCTTAAACTGAGTCAATTTGTTATGGCAGCAAACTGTGTTTATCTATTCTGTGCTGCATAACGATTTATCAGCTCCTGCCTTATCAGTGAAGATGCAGAAAAACGACTAGTCTGTCTTTAACGGCAACACTGCAGTTTGCAAACATCCCAAATGTTGTCTTGTTCCTTCTCACCCAGCAGCCCAGTCTGTGTAAGTAGGGGAGGATTTCTAGTGTGCGTTGTGGTTTGCATACAAACCTCCATGAATATTGTGATGCTTATTGAAAATGTTAATATGCCAGGGCATAAAAGGACACTCCCTTCAAAAACTGGGCTCTCCTAAGGCATCAAGTGCAAAACTAACTCAACACTTCTGGAAATCCTGTCTCATATAACTTGTAACAGTATCGTGTGCCATGACATTATTCAGATTGACATAAATGGTCGTGCTTTTTCTTTTAAAAGTGAAGCTAGAAATGGATCTCAGTTTGGCTTTTAAGTAAGTAGCTGTAAATAAATGCTGGCAACCTTTTGTGAGCAGACGTTGTGTTGAGGCTGATACAGATGTCTGGTTTTTATTGTGGCTGAGCAGAGGTGGGGCCAGGCCACATGTAACATCACAAGTAACCTTCTTGGTGTGATTAAGCTCCACCAGATTTTGCATTGCTGTGTTTCTCTGTAATGTGAGCCAGAAAAGATTGGGTTGGTGATTAGAAAAGACATATTTGTTTCTTTAGAAATAGCAAACAGTCAAAATTGCAAGAAGAGTTTGAGTAAAATTAGATTATGTTTTTGAGGGATGCTTTCTTAAATAGAAACTGTCTTTTTAATCATTGCCTCTGTTAAGAGAGAAGATGGATTTTCTCTCAGTTTTTCCCTTGTCTACTGCTTCAGGGTGGGGAAGATGAGGAAGATGTGGGGATGGAAGAGAAATGTACCAAATGGCTGAAAACCTTAAAAATGTGGGAATATTCCATTTTTCATCAGAATTGGGAGCTTAGAAAGATTTGCGGGGAAATGAGACTGTGCCTTTTCCTCTGTTTAAAATGAAACATTATTCCAGCTCTTTAAACCTCCCTGCTTTTGGGTCACTATGCTGCTGGAGACATTTGTTTTTCGGATGAGAAGAGAAACTGGTATCTTAACTGTTTGTGGTTATTTAAAAAATGTTTTCACAAAAATTTGGGCCTGTTTTATCCCTGTGTCTTGGCCCAACATCCCTCTGGGAACATCCATCCTGCTTGCCTAGAGTCACATTTAACTTCAATGCCTTACCCCTTCTGCCACAAATACGATATAATGGTGTAAGTGCTGTTGTAAGGGGCTGTGTTTTGACCCCAAAGAGGTGTATTTGTAAGTGGTGAATGAAACAATCCTCTATCTAATGGCTTGACATCTCTTGGGCATCCTTTATTATCATTTTAATAAACCTGCTAAGGTACCATGGCAACTGGGTGTGATAACAACAGCCAAAGCAGGCTCAGATGGAAGAAATCCTATGCAGGATAGAAAATAATTTAATTTCTTTTTGAGTATTTGCCATCTTTGGTGCAGTGTATAATGTGGATTTTTCCATTTGTGAACCAAGGAAGGGTTTGTTTATTCTAAGGCCATCACAATTTTGCTTGGTTGACTTCACAATTGCTGGAATAATCTCCAGCCTCTTGCATACAAAAATATTTGAACTTTTGTAAATGTGGTTTGAGGGGGAGATGCGCTTTTGGGCAAGTAGGTGCCAAACAGCAAAAGGCTGGGGTGGAGAGGAGATGTTGATTTGGTTTTATTTTTTTCTTGTTTTCTTTAGCCCAGTTGCACACATGTTATTCTTGTTCAGTTTTCTGAAAGCCCTGTGTACTTCCCAGAGGGCAGCATGTTTCCTATTTCCATTCCCCATTAATTTCCTCTCTATTGAGAATACCAATTAATGAAGATTACAACAATTTGAAAGGCTCCCTACTTCTCCATCGCTTCTGTGGCACATCTCATGCAAGCTGTCCCCAGCCCTAATAAGCTGTGATGGGATCAACCAAAGATCACCCTGTGCCTCCTTTCTTCTCTATTTTCTCTCTGTGCTGGGATGCAAAGAGAAAAGACAGAGAAGTCTGACTTTAATTACTCAATATTGTGCACATAGGAGAAATCCTAAATTGTAAGTTAAACCCAGCTATAGGGATATTTTGTATTGCAGGAATGATGCAGTAAATTGTTTAACAGTTCAATATATGTATGTACCTGCTTAGTTATTACTCATTTATTGTCGAAGCTGGTAGAAAGTCACTTTGAAAGTCTAACATTCAAATGGGAAATGAAGATCTGTTTGTTTTCCAAAGGCTGGTGCATAGAAACCACGTAAATATTGGTTATCTTATTTCTTTCAATGACCTGTTGAAGTGCCCCTCACCTGTGTTAGCATGTCTTTATTGACAGAGAGGTATGGTATTGCCTGTGTGTGTAGATGTTTTTGTTTTCATTTTGTTGTTTTTTTTCTCCTCCCATATAGTATGTGGTAATTGCCATAGGAAAATGTGTCATGTGTTGGCCGTCGTTCCATGTATTACGTTACCTGTTTTCTTTTGCAGGTTTCTAACTTATTCCTACCTTCTGGCCTTCAATGCGTGGCTTCTGCTGGCACCAATCACCTTGTGCTATGACTGGCAGGTTGGCAGCATTCCTTTGATTGAGTCCGTCTGGGATGCAAGGAACTTAGCCACAGTGTTCCTGGTGCTGGTGATGACGTTACTTAGCCTACACTGCATAGCGGCGTTCAAGGTAGCCCCAAAAGACATGCAATATAACGTTTTGTTTAAAAATCTTTTGTTTCCTGATCTTCAGAAGAAGTGGTCAGTAAGCACAAGTTTTCCTCTCAGATATGTTGGATTGAGGTGAAAAAACCATACGGCTACATAACTAATGCAGGCAAGCTTAACAGCTGAAAATGTCCCTCTAGTCAAATGTCTTAGTCTCTAATTGGTCTGATTTGAGGGCAAAACTTGGCCTGGAGTCCTGCATTCAATTACTGTTAATGATCCAAAGCCCACTGAAGTTGTTAAGCATCTCTGCCTCTCTCATAGTCATTAGGCAATTTGTCACTTGCTTCGAACAGGACTGGGAACTGTCATCTGCAGAGCCATTTGAAAATGAAATCAATTATTGTATTCGTACCTTTGCTATGCTTTTAAAACCTAAATGTTGGATACATCTTGAAGAGAAGATTTTCCGTCAGTGGAGTAATGGAATGTGGGGAAATCTGAAATGATATGGAAATTGTTATTTACTGTAAATAATATAGTTGGTAAGCCATGCTTCAAAATTCAGCGTTTCAGATCCACCATTAATCACATTACAGAAATGAAAGTGAGGTTGTACTAGACTTATCAGAGATCAGATACGCACTTACGTGGAAGGGGTTTTTTTGTGGATCATAGGGAGTTACAAGCTATTCCTCCTTCAGTTGTGTTGTGGAAGCTTCTTTAGGAAAGGTGTTGGTATTAATTTTTAAAAAAGTACAAAATTTTCTCTTCCTTAAACGTATGTATTGCTGAAAAGCATAGTAGGGGAGTGGCAGGTTTTTAGTACCTATCTTATGCTAAAAAGTGCAGGTCATGTACATGCTTCATTCTACCCTTGCAGTCTTCCCTGTGCTCCTGATAAGCGATGGAAAATGAACCAAACAGTGTGAGGCTGCAGAGTCATTAATTTAGATTATACATTGACAGATGCTGTATGGGAAGTATGGGAAAATACCCTATTCACTCGTTCTACCTGCGGGTTGTACATCATCTTGTATTCCTCTTGCTTTCATTATTCACTGCTAGAGATATTCAGAAGTGTTTGTATTAGACCAATTCCTGTTCCCAGGGAAATTAATCATAAAATTCTTATTAGCCCAGTGCTGAACACTTCTGAAACATCTTATCCTGTGTTCTTTGAAGTTTAGGTTGCTTTTTATTTCTTCTCCTGTTGTTGGAATTGGTACTATGTGCAAGATTAATGTTGTTGGTTTGCTGGGAAAAAAAATCTTTTAAGATTATCCAAAGTCATTTTGTGTTATTTTATTTTGGGTAAAACGGTAATCCGGAAGTATTTCTTTGGGTAACTGAATTGTTTGTCTTCTGTCTAACTGTAAACCAAAATATTTCAAAACACTTCCTGAATTATGTGTCTAGATTTTATCATATTTTGATTCCTTCTATGGTTTTTTTTTTTTAAAGGCAAAACAATTTAGGCTGGATTTATGAATACCACTGTTTGATTTGAAACTGCAACTTCTAACTTTTTGTGTCTAATAAATGCACTGCTTTGCTCTTAACCACTGTTAACGTTGCATTAAGCAACATGAATTTCAGTCTCCAGGCATTTACTTACTGGATGCTTTGAAATTCATCTCCTAGATTCCTTTGTGTTTACCCTTGAAAACCCCGAACATGGAATAAATTGGATATGGAGTGTCCGATTGTGTCTAACCCATGTAAAACCAGAACCATCACTTATTCTTGACAAAGTGCTTTAATCAGTCTCCACTCGCAGCCTCCCAGCAAACCCACTGCAAACATGGAACTGTTAATGATTCGTGGGGGTGAACTTGGATGTGCTTCCCCCAGCCCTGAGTATAATTAGAGGTAGCTGAAATATTCTGCTTTTCAGGAAATTCTAAATTTCTGAAGCTATTTTCTATTTTATTTTTAATGACTTCTGTAACAACTCAGTTGTGATACTGCCATTAAGTGGTATGAAGATGATAGCGTTGTGCCAAGTAGTATGGACTACTGAAGAAAGCAAACGGTAGGAAGAAACATAATTTCCTGGAAATATATATTTCCTGTTTGGCTTTGGAGGATTGTCCTCTACAGCGAGGAGAGGGAAGTTCAGGACACACGAACTGCAGGCACAATTCATTATATTAGTCTCTTAAGAAAGCTTCTTTCCAAATGAAACAGCAGTGGCCTTTCATACGACATTGTTCCCCGCAAGAAGGACCATCCTTCAGTCAAGCCTCAGACAGACTATTTCTCAGTAATTTGCAGCTTGTAGGTAGCATGAGACACATCAAGTGATTTTTCACATTTCATAAAGTGTAAGATTTTCTGCTTTCTTTTTGAAGCAAACACACAAAACTGTCTTAGCAGCCATTTTTCTCTCCTTTTTCATTGCAAAGTCTAACCTGGAAGCAATAGCTTGCAATTTTCTAAGGAATGGCTTTAGAGTGAACAGGCATGCAGTTTGTGTGCCTTTCATTTGAGTGTGTAGGTGTGCAGGGGAAAGACAGGACAAAACCTCATATTCCTTCTCGTTGGCACTAACACTTTCTTTTCTGTGGCATGGAGAATGGAAATGCTAGGAACGATTTTGGCAGAAGTGAAGATGTTTGTGCAGTGAGCATTGAGCTGATTTTTCAGTGGCAAGAGGAGATGCATATGCATCCACAAAACAAGCTCACAGGAGACTCACAGAATATATTACATGGACTGTAATTGGAGAATGCAAGTATTGGATTTCTGCCTTTGTTGCCATTGAATTTTAAACAGGGCTAATTTGTTGTTGACGTTTGTGATTAGGGTAATAACCCTGTTGGCATGAATGTGTAGTGCTGATAAAGGACATCTAAGGCATGAAGCTTTCGTGTTCCATTTCATTTTGTGGATGTTATACCTCAGAAGGAGAAGAAACAGTGATTTCCTTGGAACAATTTTGTTACTAGATGGGGGGGGTTATGCTGAAAACTGCAGAAACAGAGAAGGCAGTTCTGCAGTTCATTATTGTTTGGAGAGAGAAGCCTACTTCCTTGTCCTCCTCGTGCACTTTTCACTGTTTTTCTCCTTCTTACATAATGAGGACGTCACTTGAAAAATTGCTTTGTTAATTCCTTGCATATAACTTTAATTTACTGGGTCGTGTGTGCATAGTGCTAAATCCCCAAAGAGCTTCCCGTGAGCAGCTCCCCAAGAAAGACTTGTTGCTTTGCACGGTGTTTAGGTGCACAGCCATGCTCATCTCTTGCTGCAGCCATCCCTATCACACGTGACAATTAATGACTGTCTTCAGGAGGCCTGACGGGAGTAAAGTCCTGCTCCTTGGCGCACCTCCCACTGTGGGAGTAAAGGACCTTGCTGTCATCTCTGGCCAAGATGTTTTTGTAGTGACTAATGTGGCAAAGTTGCAGTCTATCGTAAAGCAGCTCTTTGAAACCTTTTCAGACTTGCAGATGCGGATGCCCAGAATGCTTTGCAAATGGGTCTCTCTTGAGCTGTTTTAGTCAAGGCACCAGGAGTCACTGGTGAGTGTCGAATCCTCAGGTTCTGCTCAGCTCTTTGTGGTGAACTTCATCACCCAGTCTGGTTGGGCTTTGAGTAGTGTGCCGGGGATGTGACAAAGGCTGGGGATGCTGTTGCAAATGCCTGCATCCCAGAGAAATAGTAATAGTTGGGAAAAAAGGATGAGATTTGTTGGTTGTTTGTTTTCAAAGACAGCCTCAGCTGCAAGGACTGGACATGGTCTGTCTTCTGGCTTTGGGACTAGGTAGATTACAAAGGTACCAGTAAAATGGATGAAGCACTCTCTTTTTGGTTGCCAAACACACCTGTTACAAGGCCAGAGAAATGATCTGTCTGATGCTTCAAATGACCACTAGCGTACCCAAGGGCCCATAGTGCTGGCTTTCTATGCTGGAAGAAATGACGAGCACCTGGTGAACTAGAGAGAGGACAATTCTTGGCACATCGTCAGGACAACAGTTATTTCTTTGACATGTCATAATAATTCAGTGAGCATGAAAGGAAAACCCTTCAGATGTTTGAAACGCCACTCTGCATGGCATTTTTAGGTCACTGCTTAATTAATAGTCTGATTAAAATGCAGCTTGTCTTGTAGTTGTAGCTGTGAACTTATGTACAGAGCACATGATGGATCAGATTCCACTTTTTATGTGGTACCTGATCTATGGAAGACTGATAGTGGGAAAATTCATGTGTATGTGATGGAGTGCAGAGCAAGGTGATCTGGAAAATGAATTTGAAACAGGAGCTTTTGTATCTGACCAGTCTGGGGTAATTTATTGCACCTCATACTGCTTGGCCCTTGTCTTGCATTTATACTCATGACCAACACTATGGAGGTACCTTATGGTGGTTCACAGCACCTTCTACTTGTTCAGCAGGAACATGTAATGATGCACAATGGTTTGCTCATATCTGAGGAGGGGGAGTGCTACTTAAGTTTCACATCAATTTAAAAAAAAATCTCTAGTATCCTCTAGGATATATAGTTTTAAGAACATGCTTTGCTGCTGTGTGTGACATGGCTACATGTGGTACAGGAAATTGTGATGATTTTCAGGTTATATTCATCACATGCAACTGAGATATATATTATTATCCTATTTCATATGCTACGGTTGGCTGTTTTTTACTTTGGGTTTAATTTTAAGATACTGCTGCCTCTACATTTCTCTGTATACTGCTTCTTAGCCAAGACAAGGTATTTTGTACCAAATTATTATGACTTTAATTTGTGCTGTAATTGGCATCATATTGCCATTTATCCAGTGGTTTATATGTATGAATATCATCTAAGCGTATTCCTCAGTCACTCACAGGCTCTATTTCTTAGCTGACAATGTTTAATACCATCAAGAAGAGGAACACATTTGTGTCTTCTCTTTGTGCACATGTTTCTGTTGTTTTTGCTAGCACTCATTATGTGTATTCTGTCATGCTATTTACTTTACTCTGCACTCCTGAGACCTTTGCCTCATTTCCCAGGTTTGGCATTTC